TATATGTAAGTTGAAAAAAAAAAAAGTCAATGTGCTCTTCTATAAAACTGAAGGTAAAATTATTTGGCTTTAGAAATATGACAGTAGTTTTTTTTATGAAATTAACAAATAAAACATATATTAAGTATTTTTTTGTAAAAACTAATTATATTTATGGTTAAATTACATAGAAATTAACAAAATGTAGTATATGTAGTTTTGGAGGGAAAAAGAATTCTTTTAGCTACTTAGCTTCTATATATGATAGTCATAGTGATTTATCATTAGGTCCTAGTTTAATTAACATTTATGCCATTTTTTACAATAATATTTATGATATGTTTTTTTAAACTATAATGAAAACGTGATGAAGTTAATCACACGAATTTTGACAACACGGATTTATCAGTATCCCACATTTAGACCAGAAATGTTATTAAATCTATATATATATAATTGTTAGCTAATCCGCATTTAATAAAAATTTAATAAAAACATTTTCAGATTCCCGCCAATAGACGTTACAAGTCACATTATTTATTTATTTTTTTTTTTTACAAATGCAGAAACGTTGACTCTGGGGGTATTTAATGTGCCAATTACTAATAATCATTTTATTAGTCAGTAATTAAATTTGGAAGTTATGAATAATTTCTTTTATTAAATTAAATGTGGTATTTGCTAATAAACATTTATTTAGTTAATAAAATTATAATCAATCATTTTTTTATAGTTTTTGGTTTTGCTCTATAAATTAATAAATAATCAGATAAAATTGAAAAATACAAAACATATACAAAAAATAAAAAAACATTACAAATTATTTACAAATTACAAATAAACATTGTTTCACCGCACTTCAGCTTTGAATTGGACCTGCAAAAAAATAATTAAAATATAAAAATAAGTAAACAATTTCATTATCCCACAATTTCATAAGAACATAAAATTAATACTAATGTAATGTAATCTATATAAATATTCAAATGTTCAATTTAAGCAAGTCGGGAAGAATAAATTTAAATAAAAATTTAAACCAAGAAAAAAGAGGCGGCAAACAGGTTTCATAAAGTTCAAAAAATCAAGGGATAATATATTTATACATAATAAAATAATTATTCCATGATTTCAGCATTTTCAGAATACATAATAATATTATTAAAAATCAGTTACAACATTATATATTAAATATATTATCCCTTGATTTATGCACATAATATTATATATCAAATTAAATATATTAAATGTAACAATTTTGACCACACTAAAACCATATAAATATGGGCAATATTCATTCACAATTTATCATTGCAGTTTTCAGCAAACACAAAACAAAACAAAAAAAAAAATTCTCTTTTTCTCAATTGAGCAATGGCATCCATATTTAACAACTTGACATTCTTGGCCAAAAACAAGAATAAGACTGCAAGGCTCCGATTAGTCAGACACTACACTCGGTATTATCAGTCCAATGCAGCCAAAGTTAGCGGGCATGATTTCATTTTCCATGATGTTAAGGTATATATTTTTCATTTTTCTATTGTTCTATTATTCTGTTCAAGCAAATTTTTTTACTAAGATTCTTTATTTTTTTTAAAGGGCCAGCGTATACATGGATGGGCACCCGGATGCTTATCCAAAAAGTTTGAAGACTTTAAACTTCTAGAAGGCAATGTGTACGAGATCAAAAATTTTGAACTTGTGGAGGACAAAAGTGCATTCAAGATAACTAAGTCGAGTCACAAGTTCATTTTCTACAAATCAACTAACATGCGGGAGATAGTTGATGAGGAGTATCCGAGGTTGATGTTCGAGTTTAAGCAATTCAGCGAGCTAACCGACCCTGAGAGAATCGATCCTTCCACACCTTTTGGTAACTTATATATTTTTTTTTTTAAATAATACAAATTCTACAAATCTTAAGAGTACATACTAATTTTTTTTATTTGTAGACATGATTGGCCGTATCGTTTTGTTTCAAAACGTACATACAAAAAATTCAAATGGAATTCCCAAGAGGTGTATTGACATTGTGCTTGAAGATGTTGAGTAAGTTATACCTAACATGTTTATTGTGTTTTTGTGCTTTTGTTCTATGTGTTTTTGTGTGCTTTCGAGTCGATTCTAGGATTGTTTTAGGGTTGGCCGGTCCATTTTGTCGTTTATCGTGTGTTTTTATGCTTTTCATTTTATTTTATATTTTGGCGTACTTTTCCGTGTTTTTCGGTTATTAATTTCAGGTATTTCGGAGATGAAGAGAGAGAGAGAATCGAGTCACTTGCCGAGATACGAGCATTTCCCGAAGAAGTTGAGTTTTCGAGTAGTTTCAAACCATTCCGTGCGAAGTTGTTGATTGAACCGAGATGTTGGGGCCCTAGTCGATCCCCTACCGAGAAGTCACCTAGCCTTGTCGCGTGCCCGCCGGCGTTTCCTCGAGCTCGAGAGTGCTCTT